AAACCAGTATGTTTTACTCATACATTGTTCTCCTAATCTATGTTAATGAAATTATATATTTGCTTGGAAAAATGCCTTTCTTCAAGATTCATGTCAATCGTTTTATGGCCCGGGATGACTCAACTGGTGCCAATGTTATCTCAAAATGCATGCAGTGGGTGAGGGGCCTGGTGCCATTCTCTGAGTTTTGAGACATTTCCTTTCTCTGATTAGCAGACTGTTAGTAGCTATGTAATATCCAGCTAAAGACTAGCAGGGGGCATTCTCTCTGCTCCTTTCTGATGTCTATGACAGAAGCTTTCTCTATCTCTTTTATACTTTAACAAAACTTTATGAAACAAAAGCTCTGAGCAATCAAACCTCGTCACTGGCCCCGGATTGAATTCTTCTCCAGAGGCCAAGAATCCTGTCGTCTTTCATGGTTTAGGAACAACATTTCACTTGTTTAGTTCTTCTGGTCACTTTTTGAGTGGGTTGTTTGGTTTTCTGGTATTGAGCTGCTTGGGCATATGCCCTCAGGAAACCTTAACTGAAAAAAACACATCTGCCCCAATGTTCATTGCAGCACTAATTTACAATTGCAAGGACATGGAAGCAACCTAAATATCTATCAACAGATGAATGGATAAAGAAATTGTGGTGAAAGAGGAAACAGACAGAACAGGCTCCATCTTGAAAGCAGGACTCCATCTTGGGCCGGACTGTGGACTTTGAGCTCTATGCCCAGTATCTATAGAAATGACATACCAACCGGAAAACCAGGCCCCCTGGATGGAAGAGCCCCTGGGCTCGTACCTAGACTCTCTGTTGCATAAAAGAATACCCTAATTATCTGTGTAACCGAATAGAATCAGAAATTCTATTATGCTTATTGGGGTATGACAACAGGCCTATTGATAATTGTCTACTGTTAACTACCTAGGCTTAAGGCATATGAATCATGGGTTAACTTGGATTGTATCTTTCTTTTCCTTTGTTCAGACTAGTTTCAGGGAATATGGGGAGGTGGGTTTGGGTACATACACTTAGGGTATATAAGGTTTTCACAAAAACTGGTCAAGGTTCTTGGCTAAGAGGAGACTCTGCCTTGGGCCCACCAGTGTAATAAACTGCACTCTACTATCTGTATTGTCCTTCTGAGTGAGTTTGTTTCTCAGAATGCATGGCTACAACAGTGGTACATAATTGTGTACATTCCATATACAATGGAATATTACTCAGCTGTAGAAAGGAACACATTTGAATCCATTCTAATGCAGCAGATGAACTTAGAGCCTATTATACGAGTGAAGTAAGTCAGAAAGAGAAAGACAAATATCACAAATTAATGCGTATATATAGAATTTAGAAAGATGGTACTGATGATCCTATTTGCAGGGCAGCAAAGGAAATACAGACATAATGAACAGATGTATAGTCACAGTGCAGGTGGGAGAGGGTGGCATGACTCCAGAAAGTAGCATCGAAACATATACGTTACCATATATGAAGTGAATGTGTGTATATGTGTGTGTGTGTGTGTGTTAGTCACTCAGCCATGTCTGACTCTTTGAGACCCCATGAACTGTAGCCCTCCAGGCTCTTCTGTTCATGGAATTCTCTGGACACTGGAGTCATTCCCTTTTCAGGGGATCTTCCTACCCAGGGTTTGAACCCAGGTCTCCTGCATTGCAGGCAGATTCTTTACCGTCTGAGCCTCCAGGAAGCCCATAAAGTGGATAACCAGTGGGAATTTGTAGTACGATGCAGAACCCAAAGCTGGTACTCTGTGATGACCTAGAGGGGTGGGATGGAGAAGGAGGTGGGAAGGTGGTTTAGGAGGAAGGGATGTATGTGTTGTAGCCACACCTTCCTGGAAACAAACTCAGAAGGACAATGCAAATAGTATGGAGTGCAGTTTATTACACCAGCGGGCCCAAGGTAGCATCTCCTCTTAGCCAAGGACCCCGACCAGTTTTTGTGAAAACCATATATACAATGATGTAAAGTAATTAGCCTCCAACTAATAAAAATAAATGGAAAAAAAAAAAAGAAACCATATATACCCTAAGTGTACATGCCCAAACCCACCTCCCCAAATTCCCTGAAACTAGTCTGAACAAAGGAAAAGAAAGAAACAGTCAAAGTTAACCTGTGATTCATATACCTTAAGCCTATGTAGTTAACAGTAGACAATTATCAATAGGCCTGTGGACATACCCTAATAAGCATAATAGAATTTATGATTCTATTTGGCTACACAGATAACTAGGGTATTCTTTTATGCAACAGAGAGTCTAGGTATGAACCCTGGGGCTCTTCCATTCAGGGGGTCTGCTTTTCCAGTTGGTATGTCGTTTCTATAGATACTGGTCATATAGCTCAAAGTCCACAGTCTGGCCCAAGATAGAGGCCTACTTTCAAGATGGAGCCTGTTCTGTCTGTTTCCTCTTTCATATATATACTTATAGCTGATTCATGTTGATGTATAGTGGAAACCATTGCAATATTGTAATTATCCTCTAATTAAAAATAGTATTTAAAATAATTACCATCCCAATTCCATTTGATTTCTACTAAATCAAACTGATCATAATATATGAGCATTCAATATCTTAAATTTCATCACCTGTTAACTTCAGTAGAAGCTTTTAAGCCAAATGGAGAATTTTGACTATGACAGATGACACTTCTGCTGTGCAAGGGTAGTGGAAAGAGAAAATACTCACAGTGAAGAGTGCTAGTCAGTACGCATGTCCATTATATATATATTTATATATATATATATATTTTTTTTTTTTTTAGAAAATGTGCCCTGAGGAAATGATGCTTTTTGCCTATCTGCAAGTGGTAAAAGGACTGACTGATTCGATTGAGCCAAGGGAGGAGCAAGTAAAGGGATTTGGAGAATTATTTAGATGGAGGTACGTGTGAGGGCAGAAAGTGTTTCCCACTGTGTCCCACATCAATGACCTCCAGAGTGTTTACCACAAAGGAGACACTGGACAGCTACAAGTTTGGGATATCTTATCCCATCTCTATCATTAGGTACATCAATACTTATACAAGAGAGAAGGAACAGAGTCCATGGTGGCACGGATGGAAGATTTGTGTGGACCAACAGCACAGGCTTGCTCTGACCATGGCAGGCACTGCTGTATATGCTGCTGGTCAGAAGCAGAGAATAATGTCCCTCAGGAAATCTAGCCATCTAACTTGAAAGCAAGTTAGTTTTCCTCTTAGATTACATGTGCATGGAAAAGACAGCAATTTTTCTTTACTAAGATTCCATGTTATAAACTTGGATTGTTGTTCCTATCAACAGTACTATCCATCAGCTTATAGTAATATTGACATAGGATTCTGAATAGTAAAACTTGGGACCCACAGACCCACTTTTTAATGAACAAGATCAACAAGAGGCAAATGAACATGAGATCGACTTGTTCTACCATACATCACATGACAGAGATAACTGACCCATGGAAAATTAGAATTCTCTCGTTCAGTTCAGTTCAGTGCAGTCACTCAGTCATATCTGACTCTTTGTGACTGCATGGACTGCAGCACACCAGTCTTCCCTGTCCATCACCAACTCCTGGAGCTTACTCAAACTCATGTCCATTGAGTCGGTGATGCCATCCAACCATCTCATCCTCTGTCATCCCCTTCTCCTGCCTTCAATCTTTCCCAGCTTCAGGGTCCTTTCAAATGAGTCAGTTCTTAGCATCATGTGGCTGAAGTATTGGAGTTTCAGCTTCAGCATCAGTCCTTTCAATGAATAGTCAAGACTGATTTCCTTTAGGATGGATTGGTTGGATCTCCTTGCAGTCCAAGGAGTCTCAAGAGTCTTCTCCAACACCAGAGTTCAAAAGTGTCAATTTTGGGGGGCTCAGCTTTCTTTATAGTCCAACTGTCACATCCATCCATGACTACTGGAAAAACCATAGCTTTGACTAGATGAACCTTTGTTGACAAAGTAACTCTCTCCTTTTTAATATACTGTCTAGGTTGGTCATAACTTTTCTTTCAAGGAGCATGCGTCTTTCAATTTCATGGCTGCAGTCACCATCTGCAGTGATTTTGGAGCCCCCCAAAATAGTCTCTCAATGTGTCCAGTGTTTCCCCATCTATTTGCCATGAAGTGATGAGACCAGATGCCATGAGCTTAGTTTTCTGAATGTTGAGTTTTAAGCCAAGAGTATTGAGCCTCTTTCAGTTTCATCAAGAGATGGCTGGCCCATGGAAAATTAGATGGTCTTGTAGACTGCAGTAAGAAACAACTTAGAGATGACAACACACAAGGTTGATATGTTGTTTCTGAATATGGTACATACTTCGACCTAATGGCCACTATATGGTTCCCAAATAGGTAGTAAGTACCATGTATATCCACAAAGGTAGTATACATGGTTTCAGAAAGTGACGTGGCAGTGAACCCCCTCACTTTAACTCACGGTGACATATATGGGAATCTGTTCTTCCCCTCCCCATGGATCTACACTCTCCTGGATAGAAGGGCTTAATACTATAAAAGTCACATTTTTTAGGGAATATAGTCTATGTTTAAACTGTCACCTGGTCATTTTGGACTCCTCATCTAGATAGACCAGTGGGCAGAGAAAGGAATTACTAATTGCTGAGGGATAATTATTGCGAAAAGATAGAGGGCGGGGAGAAATAGTCTGAGCATAATTTCCTTGGAGTATCTCATGGTGTGTCCAGGCCCAGCTGTAGATAACCACATGAACAATGACAGCAACTATAGCTTGCCAAGGACATAGTCACTGAGGTTCAGACATCTATTAATAGTTCCTTGGGATGTAAATGTAAGTGCCGTTGAGCAGGAACAGAAGACTTCATCCTGGATGAGTCTATTTATTATTAGGTAAATCACACTACCAATGAAATGGGTTTTTAATAATGAGATAATAATTAGGAAGGGGGCTAATATGATGCTCGTAAGCATATGATATATAAATTTCTATGTCAGGAAGGTGGTGCAATAAATCAAACACATATAGAAGAATTGTGGTACACCATTTATTGAGAAACATATGGGTAAACCTCAAAGTGATCATAAAAGGAGAAAGCATGATACAAGAACTATGAGGATAGCAAAAGAGAAAATATGATTATAAAGATTATGATAGGCTGCAGAAACCTATAGAAACATTCTGAGATCTCATTTTCTTAAGTTACTCAGAAGAACTAGATGGTCAATCCTATTTTCAGAGTCAAAACCAAGACTTGCTTCCTTATCACAGATGCAGGCAGTTGGCACATGGTCCTCCTACACCAGAGGAAGACAATTGGACGAAGCTAATTCACAAGCTCTTAAGCAAGGAGATGAGTAACTGAAATTCTGGTAGAGCATGCCAGTTGTCAGCAGAGTCTAAGAAGTGATTTTGTTTGTCCCCAGGTAGCAAGTCAATTAGCAGAAGGTGTTGTATAGGGACAGTGGCTCCTTGGCAAGGTGATCAGCAGCAGGAAGGCTGGCAGCAGCTGGACACACAGCTAGGGTGGCAGCAGGTGGTCCTGCAGCAGGTGGTCTGGCAGCAGACAGGGCGGCTGCAAGGCTGGCAGCAGCTGGATCCACAGCTCTGGTCTTGGCACCCAGGCAGGCAGCAGCATGTGGGGTGGTAGCAGGTTCTATGGCAGTACACGGGTGCACAGCAAGCTGGCTGGCAGCAAGGCTGAGAGCACCTGGACCCACTGCAGGTTTGTCCACAGCTGCTGGACCCACAGCAGGTGGGCTGGCAGCAGGTGGTCACACAAGTAGGCTTGAGGCAGGTGGTCCTGCAGCAGGTGGTCCTGCAGCAGGCAGGGCGACAGCAAGGCTGGCAGCAGCTGGACCCACCACAGGTGGGCTGACAGCAGGTGGTCACACACGTGGGTTTGCAGCAGGTGGTCCTACAGCAGGTGTTTTCACTAGTCTGATAGCAAGTTGGGGGGCAGCAAGGCCGGCAGCAGCTGGCCTCACAGCAGGTGGGCTGGCAGCAGGTGGTCACACAAGTAGGCTTGAGGCAGGTGGTCCTGCAGCAGGTGGTCTGACAGCAGGCAGGTCGACAGCAAGGCTGGCAGCAGCTGGACCCACCACAGGTGGGCTGACAGCAGGTGGTCACACACGTAGGTTTGCAGCAGGTGGTCCTACAGCAGGTGTTTTCACTAGTCTGATAGCAAGTTGGGGGGCAGCAAGGCCGGCAGCAGCTGGGCTCACAGCAGGTGGGCTGGCAGCACGGGGAGCAGCAGGAGTGAGTCATTTTGTCACTGGTGGAGTGTGGACTTCTGGTTAGAAGTGAGTTTCTCAGATTCTGATGACTGCTTCTGTTCTGGGGCTTTTTATACACTGGACCCCCAATGTTGGGACCAATAAGCAAGACTTTCCTTGTTGTGTATGTTGTTTTTGTATTCAATGGGAAATTATCCAAGAGGAAATGATTTCTTTAGTGTTTTGAGGCCTCTGTAAATTAGTGTTTGATCTTCTTTTTAATTAGGACTAGTACTTAAGAACCTTTTCCAGAAGGGAAAAAGAATAAGGAATCATCCCAACAGGATCTCTGGTCATGTGACATCATCAGGTCATGGGATAGTTCTTCCTGCCTCGGCCAGGGTAGGAACAGTCATCTTTTCTTTGTTCCTTTGACTCCACTTAGGTTGAGACTAGCTGGATGCTGATGCATTCTGTGATGAATGAAGCCAGCTAAAGTCCAAGTGTGATGTCAGATGAAGTCTGAGATTCAAGACGATCACGTGTATCTATATACATGTCTTTCAAATCAGTAGTGACTGACCTAAAATATTTCCTAGCTTTATTAGGTACATTTAGGTAGAAGATGTTGGCACATTGTTCTTCACTAGCAATTCAGAACCAAAGCTGTACCCTGTTTTCAGATATCAATTCATTAATGTCCCATAACTATTTTTAGCTGGATCAATCACCTCTGACGAGACATCACAACTTGCATATACTTTCTTTTATAATTTGTGACAAACAGGTAGATAGGATGACAACTTTATAGACTTACAGATTTCAATAAATGTCAAATGTGTCATCCATAATTTCTTAGAGTTTTTTCTGCCCTATTGTCTCTCTTTTAGATACATATGTAAGAGTGTAATTCCCATGTCATAGGGAAAGCAGATAGTCAACAGCGGTAGAAACAATAAAAATGTTTCAATATTTCACTACAGTAGTGTTGTATACTCTCCTGATATGAGACTTCTGAATTCTACTGATATGTATCTATCCTTGTTTGTTTTTTTTAAATTGAGCTTTAATTGACACGGCATTATATTGTTTATAGGTGTTCAGCATAATAATTTGATATTCGTAGATGTTGCAAAGTTACCACTGCAGTAAGTCTGGTTAACATTAACGTCTGTCGCAATTGATAACTACAAAGTCTTTTTTCTTGCATGAGAGCTTTTAAAATCTACTTTTCTAGCAACTTTCAAAGATTTCAGTATTATTCACTATGGTCATTATACAGTACATCACATTCCCCATGCATTTATTTTGTAACTGGAAGCCTGTACCTTTCGATCCCATTTACCTATTTTACCCACCCCACCTCCCACCTCTGGCTACCATTGATCTGCTCTATCTATGAGCTCAGTTTTAGAAAATTTTTTTAAGATTCCATATATAAGTGCAATCACATGGTATTTGTCTCTAACTTATTTCATTTAGCTTAATGCCCTCAAGGTCCTTTCACATTGTCATAAATGGGAAGATATCCCTCTATTCATCACTGAATAACATTCCATTATATGATATGTTCCATGTTTTCTTTACCCATTCATCCATTGACAGACACTTTGGTTGTTTCCATGTCTTGGCTAGTGTAAACAATGCTATAATGAACATGTGGCAGTATAAATCTTTTTGAGTCAGTGTTTTTGTTTTCTTCAGATAAATGCCAAGAAGTAGAATATTTAGATCATATTCTATTCTCCCCATGTCCTATTTTTAATTTTGAGGGAACTCCATTTTTTTTTCATAGTGGCTGCACCAATTCCCATTTCAACTAACAGGGAAAGGCATTCCCTTTTGTCATATTCTCATTAAAACTTTGTATGTCTTGACACTTTTATGATAGACATGGTAAATCCGGTATGAACTGATATCTCATTGTGGTTTTGATTTGCATTCCTGTTGATTAGAGATATTAAATACCTTTTCATGTATCTGATGGCCATTTGCATGTCTTCTTTGGAAAAGTATGTCTTTAGAACCTCTGCCCATTTTAAATGAGGTTGTTTCATTTTTGCTATTGAGTCATGTGAGCTATTGAGTTATGCATTTTTAATATCAATCCTTTATGAAATATGATTTGAAAATATTTTCTCTCAGTTCAATAGGTTTCCTTTTCATTGTGTTGATAGTTTCCTTTTCTAGGCATAAACTGTTTAATTATTCCCAGTTTTAGATCTGTTGCCTTTATTTTGGTGTCAAATCAAAAAGTCAGCATTAAGACCAATATCAAGGAGCTTACTATCTATTTTCCTTTCCAGGAGTTTTATAATCTCAGGTCTAATGTCAAGTCTTTAATCCATTTTGAGTTAATTTTTGTGGATGGTGTATGAGAGGAGTCCAGTTTCATTCTTTGGCACATGGCTGCCCAGTTTTCCCACAACTATTTGTTTAAGAGATTGCAATTTCCTTATTGCATTAATATATTCTTGGCTCCTTTGTAATAAATCAGTAGGCCATATAATGTGTGGACTTATTTCTGGCCTCTTTACTCTATTCCATTGATCTAGGTGCTGGTTTTTTCTAATCTATACAGTTTTGTTTAATATAGCTTTGTAATACTGTTTGGAATCAANGTTTTCCATAGTGGCTGTACTAATTTGCATTCCCACCAACAGTGTAAGAGGGTTCCCTTTTCTCCACACCCTCTCCAGCATTTATTGCTTGTAGACTTTTGGATAGCAGCCATCCTGACTGGCGTGTAATGGTACCTCATTGTGGTTTTGACTTGCATTTCTCTGCTTATAATCTCAGGTCTTAAGTTCAGGTCTTTAATCCATTTAGAGCTAATTTTTGTGGATGGTGTATGAGAGGAGTCCAGTTTCATTCTTTGGCACATAGCTGCCCAGTTTTCCCACCACTATTTGTTTAAAAGATTGCAATTTCCTTATTGCATTAATATATTCTTGGCTCCTTTGTAATAAATTAGTAAGTCATATAATGTTGATTATATGACTTATTTCTGGCCTCTTTATTCTACTTCATTGATCTAAGTGCTGATTTTTTCCAATCCATACTGTTTTGTTTAATAGAGCTTTGTAATACTGTTTGGAATCAAGGAAGATGATGCTTCAAGCTTTGTTCTTTTTCAATATTGCATTGGATATTTTGTGGTTCCACACAAATTTAAATTTTTTTCCTTTTTTCTGCCATTGGAATTACATTATCATTTTATCCTTTCTACTGCTGTTGACTATATGTTTCCCGATTACATGGCAATTATACTCTAATGTATACATCTAAAACAGAGAAAATGGGGCCTAAAAGCTTTAAGAAATTGTGGCTGAGATTCAACATTTGTCAGAATATATAAATTTACAGATTCAAACATACCTTTGTTATTCTCCTATCTAACCTGCTTGTCACAAATTATAGAAGAAAGTATATTCAAGTTGGTATGTCTCACCAGAGGTCATTAACCTAACTAGAAAATAGCACTGAAACAGTAAGGAAGGGATGTTGTTTGAAAATAGGATTCAAGTTTTGCCTCTATTCCAGTTTTGGCACTGATTTTCATTTGAAAAACAATGTGCCAACCATCCTCTATTCAGATGACCCTGATAAAACTGGGAAACACTTCAAACTAGTTGCCAAATACAGATATATACAAATACATGTGGAAGTCTTAACTCTGACTTTGTCAGAGACCGGGCTTGAACTCAAGCAGGCTTCATTCATCACAGAATGCATCAGCATCCTGACCCTTTGGAGGCAGGTCCCAGTCTAAGTAGAGCCAAAGGAACAAAGCTGAGAAAGGAGAACTATTCTGACCGTCACAGAGCCAGCAGGAACTCCCCATGACCAGATGATGTCACAGGACCAGAAATGCTGCTGGTGATGATTCCTGACTTTTTCATTTCTAGGAAAGATTCTTAAGTACTAGACCCAATGAAGGAAAAGATCAAACACTAATTTACAGAGGCCTCTCTATAAAACACTAAGAAAGCAACTTCCTCCATGACAATGATCAAAACTACAACAATAACATAAAGAACAACCAGGAAAGTCCTGCTTATTGGTCCCAACATTGGGGGTCCAGGATATAAAAGCCCCAGAACAGGAGGAGTGAGCAGAATCTGAGAAACTCACTTCTGAACAGGAGTCCATCCTCATCACAGACACAATGACCCACTCGTGCTGCTCCCCGTGCTGCCAGCCCACCTGCTGTCAGCCCACTAGCTGCAGGACCACTTGCTGTGAGTCCAGCTGCTGCAAGCCCTGCTGCCCCCCAGCTTGCTGTCAAACCACCTGTTGCAGGACCACCTGCTGCAGACCTACTTGTGTGACCTCCTGCTGCCAGCCCACCTGTTGCAGCAAACCCTGCTGTCAGCCCACCTGCTGTGAGACCATCTGCTGCCAGCCCTCCTGCCCCCCAACTTGCTATCAAACTAGTGAAACCACCTGCTGTAGGACCACCTGCTGCAAACCTACTTGTGTGACCACCTGCTGCCAGCCCACCTGCTGTGGGTCCAGCAGCTGTGGACAAACCTTCAGTGGGTCCAGCTGCAGCCAGCCTTGCAGTCAGCCAGCTTGCTGTGCTCCTGTGTACTGCCACAGAATCTGCTACCACCCCACGTGCTGCTGCCTCCTTGGGTGCCAAGCCCAGGAATGTGGATCCAGCTGCTGCCAGCCTTGTAGCCGCCCTGTCTGCTGTCAGACCACTTGCTGTCGCCCTAGCTGTGTGTCCAGCTGCTGCCAGCCTTCCTGTTGCTGATCACTTCACCAAAGTTTCCCCATCTCCACACAACATCGTTTGTTAACTAGCTTGCTATTGTGTGGACAAAATCACTTACTAGACTTTGCCGACAACTAGCATGTTCTACCAGAATTTCAGTTACTCATCTGTGGTTTAAAAGCTTGTGAGTCAGCTGAATAGAGTCAAAATGGCTTCCCCCTATCTCTTCCTTCCCTGTATGAGGATAATATACCAACTTCATGCATCCTTGATATGGTGTTTGTCTGGGTATTAACTCTGATGTCAGGATCTACTTCCTAGTCATTCTAAATAATTTATGAAAAAAATCCTCATGACATTTTCATAGGTTTCTGCAATTGACCATAATCTTCATAAACATATTTTCTTTATCAGTGTACTCAGGAATCCTGTAACTTGCTTTCTTCCTTAAGACCACTTTGTGTGTCTTCCTAGATGCAGGAGTAATACTTACCTGTTTCTTAATAAATTCTATTCCACAATTCACTCTATATTGTGTTTGATTTATTGTACAGCATTGCTAACATATGAACATGTATCCATATTGTATACCATATGAGCTATACAACCTGAGCTGCAAACATCCTGCCATTAACTAATTCATACATTTTTAGATGAGAAATTTCACTGTGAAATATTATGTAACTAATAATGGACAAGCTGAGATCCCAGGCAACTTCTGTTTTTGCTTAAGGACACCTATATTTACATGAAAATATAAGCAGAAATGATATCCAATACTGAGGTCTATTATGTTATGAAACTGAATTGCTACTTTAACAATGGGAGGAATGATAAATCTCTCACATTTAATAGCTGGGGCTTCCTAGGTGGCTCAGTGATAAAGAATTCACCTGCCAAAGCAGGAGACGTAGGAGACGCACGTTCCATCCCTGGGACAAGTAGATCCTCTGCAAAGGAAATGGCAACCCACTCCAGTATTCTTGCCTAGAGAATCCCATGGACAGAGGATCATGGCCGGATCATACAGTCCATGGAGTTGCAAGGAGTCAGACACAGCTGAGGGACAGAGAAAGCATGCATACATGCATATATAATAGATAATGCCTGTTACAACATCATTCCTATATCAGTTTCTTACAATGCAGCAAGCAGCACTTACATGTTAGGGCAGTAGATGCGTTTAGAGCTCTGGTGAAAGGGTGGAGCCTTACCTGTCTTGGGGCAGTTCAGTCACTAATGCAAGTCAACTCTATCAGATATTTTTAGAACCCATTGCGTCATCACAAGAGAAAGTCCATATAAAGAGACTTGTTTCTTAATATCACACAAGTCAAATTCTGAATTGTCTCCTTCTCCTGAATTTCTACTGAAAGAGCAAGGAATTAAATAATTACCTGAAAAAAAAAGTGCTCTTTCAGTAGAAATTCAGGAGAAGGAGACAATTCATGCATTGTCATTGATGCCATCCAACCATGTCATATTCTGTCATCCCCTTCTCCTCTTGCCTTCAATCTTTCCCAGCATCCCTGTCTTTTCCAATGAGTCAGTTCTTCACATCAAGTGGCCAAAGTATTGGAGTTTCAGCTTCAGCATCAGTCCTTCCCATGTATATTCAGGACTGATTTCCTTTAGGATTGATTGGTTGGATCTCCTTGCAGTCCAAGGGACTCTCACAAGTTTCCTTCAACACCACATTACAAAAGCATCAATTCTTCAGGGCTCAGCTCTTTTATAGTCCAACTCTCACAGTCATACATGACTACTTGAAAAACCATAGCTTTGACTATACGGACCTTTCCTGGCAAAGTAATGTCTCTGCTTTTTAATATGCTGTCTAGGTTGGTCATAACTTTTCTTCCAAGGAACAAGCACTTTTTAATTTCATGGCTGCAGTCACCAACTGTAGTGATTTTGGAGCCCCCCAAAATAAAGAAGAGGTTAGACTGGTACAAAATGACTGATATCAAAATTGCAAGAAAACCAACACCTTGCATTTTTTAAGTCTTTGATGGAGCACTAAACGCTGCTCTTCGCCATGGATGTAGTATTTTTCTGGTTAATAATTTGGTCTGGAAGAGAAGAGTTTTAGAGACTCACACTGGACCTTTGTTTCTGTCATGGTTCTCACTTTGCATGTCTGGAGATGCTCTTCTGTTGCAAGGGCTACAGGCAACTGACAGGCCCCAACTGTTAGTGAGTTTAAGATTCGCATCAGATTTAGAGTTAAGGCCATGTTCTTCCTATCAACCCCTAGCTAACAGCTGGACATCATGCGGGAACTAAAGTTTGAACCTTTCTTCTTTAATTTTATTCATTCATTTATTTTTGGCTGTGCTGGGCCTTGTTTGCTGTGCACAGCCTTTCTCTAGTTGCTGCAAGCAGGGGCTGTTCTCAAGTTGTGGTGTGTGGGCTTCTCATTATGGTGGCTTCTCTCGTGGTACACAGGCTTTAGGGCATGAGGCCTTCAGTGTTGTGGCATT